AAGAAGTCAGGTGATGAGAGCTGGGGCTCTGGGGCTTTCCATCTCCTCTCTGGGGACCAGGCAGGTGCTGTACCGTGGCTCAGGATCTCACCACCTGTGCTCTGGAGACTCAGAGGTGTGGCCCCAGCTCCAGCCTGGCCTCACCTCCCCCCCCACCCCCACCCCGGCCTTCCTGCCCTCACCGAAGCTCATCTTGGCTTAACCGAGGGGTTAGTTCCAAGCCTCAGAGCTGACATCAGAGGGCTTAGGGATTCCCCTCAGCAGCCCAAGCTGAAAACGGGAGACATGAGTTCCAGTCTTCATTCTGTCACTGATCTGCTGCATGACCCTAAACAAGACTTCCCTTCCCTGATTCTATCCTGATGTCACATCTGAAGCTTCCAACTTCTACTTCCTGGGCTCAGGATTCCCATGCAGCCCCATGGAGTGCCCCACAGGGTCCGAGCTCTAACGGGGTACTTGGAAAATAATCAGAAAATTAGTGGATGGTTCTTTTCTCTTTTTTTTAATCATCTAGGTTTTATTTTCCCTACGTAATAGTAGTGGCAGCATTTGAAAACTGTTAAATGAGGAACCTGAGGTCCAGAGCTGATTAGTGACTCACCTGAGGTCACCAGAAGTATTAGTTACACACTGGAATCTAGAGCTCAGAATTCTTGGCTTCCTTTCTAGCAATTCTCAGCCTTTACCACATCCCTTCCATTTCCTGCTGGGATCCCAGCCCAAGTCTCAGCTCACCAGCCAAGATCTGCTTGTGGAAACTGAGGCCCAGATAGACACATGGCCCAAGTCCATCCTCCAAAGGTAGGAACAGAGGCTGGCGCCGCCCTCATTGGCTCTCCAGCTTCTTGGTAAGGATCTGCTAAGATCATTGGCCAAGGGCCATGTCCAGCAGCCCAGCCTCCCACTTTACATCCTCCGTACCTGTCCAGAACCTCAGCCAGAGCAGGAGAAGGCTGACAGGGAGACGTGGGTCTCAGCAGCTGGTCCCAGACTTGTTGCTCTATCAGGGCAATTTATAGAGAACCAGCCCATGAGCAGAACCCAATTTAGGTACTTGTGGCAGAAGACAGATTAGTTCACTGATTTACTAAGAATCTGCTATTGTTAGCTACTAGGGATATATCAGTGCACGTAACGGACACGAATTCTCACCCTCGTGGATCCCATACTCCAGTGCATGGAGGCAGACCAAAAAAAGGGGAGAGAGAAAATGATAGATATTTTAAAATGCTATGTAGAAAAATAAAGCAGAGAAAAGGACAGAGAATGTTGGCGGCGGGGGTGGTGGTGGTGTCTTACTAGATATGGGTAAGCAATTTAAACAAAGGGAACAGAGATCCCTGGGTGGCGCAGCGGTTTGGCGCCTGCCTTTGGCCCAGGGCGCGATCCTGGAGACCCGGGATCGAGTCCCACGTCGGGCTCCCGGTGCATGGAGCCTGCTTCTCCCTCTGCCTGTGTCTCTGCCTCTCTCTGTGTCTCTCGTGGATAAATAAACAAAATCTATTAAAAAATAAATAAACAAAGGGAACATTCCTTAAAGATAATGTCCATGAGCTATGATTACATGGGATTTCTGGAATCTAATGAAGGGAATCTATAAAAAATTAAGACAAAAGTACTTAATAATGAATAGTTTAAAGCTTACTCACTGAAATGAAAAAAATAAAGATGTTCACTATGACATCTAATTAACATGGCTTTAAAGTACCCAGCGAGAAGAGCAAAGTAAAACAAATAATGTACATTTTTAAAACTTTCCTTTTTTTATTTTTTTTTAATTTATTTATGATAGTCACAGAGAGAGAGAGAGGCAGAGACACAGGCAGAGGGAGAAGCAGGCTCCATGCACTGGAAGCCCGATGTGGGATTCGATCCCGGGTCTCCAGGATCGCGCCCTGGGCCAAAGGCAGGCGCCAAACCGCTGCGCCACCCAGGGATCCCCATAATGTACATTTTTAAAGGTATATACTTATGGCAGACACTGATAAATGGCGTATAAACTGACAAAAATATTAATCTGGATTTTTATTTTAATGAAACTCACTGCAAATTATAAACATAGGTCGTGATGCTGGGATCTGGGGATTAAGTCCCCTATCAGGGCCCCAAGTTGGGGTTTCTGGTCAGCGGGAACCTGCTTCTCCCTCTTCTGCCTGTCGCTCTGCCTATTTGTGCTCACTCTCACTCTCTCTCTCTCTCTCTGTCGAATAAATAAATAAAATCTTTTTAAAAATGCTATTGTGTAAAAAAAAAGTAAACCATGTAAACACTAACCAAAAACAGCAGAACTAGTCAAATTAATTTCAGAAAAAGTAAACCTCAGGGGAAAAAATATTATCAGGGATAGAGACATCACATTCTGACAAAAGGGTCAGTTCTTTTGTTTTTTAAAGATTTTATTTATTTATTCATGAGACAGAGAGAGAGGGAGAGAGGCAGAGAGGCAGAGACATAGGCAGAGGAAGAAGCAGGCTCCCCAGGGTAGCCCAATGTGGGACTCAATCCCAGGACCCCGAGATCACGACCTGAGCCAAAAGCAGATGCTCAACCACTGAGCCATGCAGGGGCCCTGGGTCAGTTCTTTAAAAAGACATAACAATCCTAATTGTGTCTATACCTAAACAATAGAGCTTCAAAACACATGAGAGAAACTGATAGATCTAAAAGGAAAAAAAAAAGATGTATCTACAGTCATAGTTGGAAATTGCAACCTTTCTTTCTAGAAAAGAGAAAGTGCTAGCGCCAAGGTTGTGTCTTTTAATCAGGTAGTCAGTGAGGACTCTGTTTGAGAAGGTGACATTTGACCAAGGATCATAAGAAGGGAGTGAGTTTTGCAGATATCTGGAAGAAGAGTGTTTCAGGCAGAAGGGACAGTAAGTGCAAAGGCCCTGAGATAGGAGCATACCTGGTATGTTGCAGGAGCAATGAAGGAGCCAGTATGGCTAGAGTGGTATGATCAAGGATAGAGCAAGCAAGAAAAGAAATATGCAACGTCCATTGGAGACAGGATTTATGGCAGGAAGGAATGAGCTATTCAGGGGAGGAAGCCCATGACAAGGGGTAGGTTCAGAACAGTTGAGAAGAGGGGACTCCAGAGAAGGGCATTCTAGGCAAAGAGAAGAGCTTGTGCAAAGGCAAGCCGGTATAAGATGGCTCATCGTATTCAAGTATGAAGCTCCAGTTGCTGGAGCAGGAATAGGGCAGAAGCCAGGGATGAGGCTGCAGGTGTCGGCTGCAGGTGTCAGCTACAGCCAGACTGGGAAGGGCAGAAAAGCAGCAAGAGACAGGAGGTCTCTGGGAACCCTAAGAGAGGGTCAGGAGGGTCAGTGGGTTGTGATGAGAGAGTGGAGGATGGAGTTCAAGGTTTGAGAGGCAAGGTAGCTCTGAGCAATGGCAAAGGATGGGGAGTGGTTGTGGTCAGAGGGTGAGTAGGGTGGCTCACCTCCCGGATGGATGGTAGGACTTGGGGATGTGAGGCAGACCAGTCAGGGCCTATGCCTTTTCTCATGATCAGTCTCAGGTTGTTTGAGACACCACCCTCTCTACACTACCCCCTCATCTTGCCCCTCCCGGAGTGAGGAGCCTCAGTTGCATGGGATGCAGGGGAATGAGCTGTCACCACTAGGGGACACTGCAGGGAAACCAGTCCAGGTTACGCAAGTGCCAGGTACTCTTCCTTCTCCTCCAAGCAACCCTCCAGGATTGCGCCCCTACATGTACTGGTACTTCCCAGGGCAGTGGGCTCCAGGCGGTCCTGCTGGGCAGTGCCTATGTAGGTCTGGGGAGGCAGAGTATAATAAGGGAAAGCCCCCTTGGTTTCTGTCTCACTGCAGGGACCCAGCAGGGAAACCCCACAGATCCCAAAAGGAAAGTGGGCCTTGGGGAAGACCAAGAAACCCCCATCTTGTCCCTGAAGATGGAAAATCCAGGGTGGGGCTAAGGGTGGAGCTGTGCTGGAAGGGAGACCTGTGGTTGATGCAGCCCAGCCCTGACAGCCATCCACAGAACAGAAACACACAGAGCAGGATTATTCTGGGACCTGGCTGAGCCCCATCCTGACCTCACACAACCCCAACCTAGTGAGCCCTGACCCTGGTCATCAGCAGAACTCTTACTCCAGCCCAGGCATGAGCCTTCTCTGTCAGAACCTTAGCCACAGCCCGAGCCCTGTGCCCAATCGGGATTGAGCTCTAAGTCATTCCTGACTGGTCCCAAGCAGAGCCTCCAGGTCACTGATGGCTCTGACCCCAAACACAGACAGAGCCAGGACGATGACCCCAGACAAAGCTCTAGACCGAGTCCAGCCCTACACCAAATCCTGGTCCTGGTTATAGACTGAGCTCTAATCTTAAATCTCACTCTGGCCAAAGCTGAACTTTTGGCCCTGAATGGGTCCATTCTCATTTGCCCTGACCGTGGCTGTAGACTGAGCCTTCATCCTGCCCGGACTGGGACCCCACTACTCCACACAAAGCCCTCTCCCAGCCCCAAGATGAGCTCCCCTCTTCCTTCGCACTCCCTCCCTCAGCTACCTGGTAAACCAGAGAAGAGTAGGATGACTCAAAACCCCAAATCCTCTCCGATGGGCAATCCCCTTACCTGGCCATCCATCTTCTAAAGGACTGTGAGCTGGTGATGGCACTAGGATGATAATGACAGAGCAGAGAAACAGGAGGATTTAGTCTGTGGAATCTATCAGTTCCCTAGAGCAGTGGCTCACCTGGGGAGCGGGATGTGAGGGGAGGGCTGGTCCCGGGAGCTCAGCAGGGGGTCTGGAGCTTGGATTGACTGAAACCCCAGCTTCCCGCCACCCCCCACTGTGCCTCCCGCCCCCTCTGGGAAGGGAAATGACATTTCCCCATTTCAGCAAGGGGTGGTGAGCAGGGAAGACTGAGTGCAAAGCCGAAAGTACAAGCAGACGGAAAGTGAAACCGGTGCAGCCCCCAGTATAAGACCCCTGCCCGGGAGATGGCTGGCCACACGGGCTGGGCCCTGCTATGGGCCAGATGGCAGGAGACCTTGGCTGGCGTGAGTTTGAGACCAGGGCTGGGGGCGGCGGGGTGCTAAGCGTGGCTGAGACTGAGCAAGGGATGGGAGGGCTTGACTATTATGGATGGGGGCTAGGGGTTGAGGGGCAACTACTTGGCCAAGACTAAGAATACAAGATATAGTCGACTGGAGAATGGGAATGAGTCTGGCATGAATAGGGGGGAGGACAGGGGCGGAGGATTGATGGTTCAGCCAGGGCTGGGCAGAGGACAGGAAGGCTTGACTGGCCTGAATGGAGAGAGGTAGGCAGCCAGTTTGATTAGGACCAGAACCAGGCAGATACATGAAGAGTTTGGTTGGAGTGAATGAGCAGGGACCAGACAGTTTCGTTGAGAACTGGGGCTGGTAGAGGAAGAACAGCAGGAGGAGTTGGCTGGGGAATGGGGCTGGGGCCAAGGAGTCAGCAGCCTAACTAGGTCAAGGGTCTGTAACTTGGAAGGAGGTCCAATCCACAGTTGGTGACTCAAAGAGTCAGAGGCTAGAACCAGAGCCACAGGAAGAGGAGCAGATGGTAGGGCCACAATAGGGAGCAAGGGTTGGAGGCTGGGGATAGAGCCAGGGTCGAGGACCCAGCATTGGGTACAGAGGGTAAGGGAGAAGCCATGGGAAGGGTCTGGAGCTCCAGAGCTCAGACAGGAAGCAGGGGGTGAGTTCAAAATGGCACAGCTCAATTCTGGGTGGGGGTATGCACTTTCCCTTAAAGTAGAGCTAAGAAGAACCCCACACTGCCTGAAGTCTCTGTGATACCAGAGTGGTCTCCAAGCCAGGGGATGCTGGTGGTCGCAGGCACCTTCCCCCCACCTCTGGAAGTACATTGCTGAATGAAAGTACCCAGAAGTGCCCTTTAGTCTTTATTTACAGGACAATTTGGGGAGCAGAGCCCAGGGATTTGGGATCAAGAATGGACAGGCAAGAGCCATGGAGAGGAGGACAAGCAGAAACTGACTTAGGCTTAGAACCTAGTTTTGGTTTGTGTTTCGAGAATTGTGTAACTCCAGTGATTGCTAGATTTCCTCTCCTTGATGGAGAGACTACCAAATACGGCCCTCTTCCCAGAGCTCCCACCCTAGGGCTCCTCTCCCTCTGTCCAGGAAATACAGGGCAGGAAGTACTTTCAGAAATCAGCTTGTCAGACTCCCCCATTTTACAGATGGGAACCTGAGGTGCAGAGATAAGAGGTGACTTGCTCAAGGGAAGAACCTAGATGAGAAACAGGTTCTGACTCCCATTCTGGGCCCTCCTCCTCTTCCAGGCACACTCTGTTCCTCAACACTGCAGAGTGACCCACCTGCCTTGGTGGTGGCTGGGCCAATCTGTCCTTCTGACTCCCTGGGGTAGAGCCTCCAGCATTGCCCGCCCACCTCTGGGGCTCTGGTTCAGGCCATTAGAGCTGCCTGGCTAAGCCCAAGGAATTCTCAGCCGAACACAGTGTGCCCACTCCAGGGGAGGTAGCTGCCTCCTCTAAGCTCCCTGGGGAAAGCACACACGCTCTGCATTTGGGCAGATCTGGAATCCAGTCCTGGTTCTCTCCGCTTCTTGCTATGTGACCTCGGGCTAGTTAACTTCGCTGAACCTCATTTTTCTCATCTGCAAAATGCACAGGATAATAGCACCCAGACTGCTACATACAGTTGAATGGTTTGTTCACTGAAAAAAGACACTTGGCTAACAGAGTTAGTGGGGGGATCAAGATCCAGCTTGAGATCTGCTTGCAAAGGTGGGTACTCTGTGCAAAGTTGTGTCTATCTTGGAGAAGAGGTACCTTCCTTTCATTCATATGGAGATGCCATATGGTGTTTTCAATAACTCCCATTTTCTCAGCGGCTGTGTGGGGTCAGTGAGATGGTACACAGGGCTTGCCTATAGTGCAGGCTAGAAAAGGCACGTGAGTTCTCAAGCTTTCCCTTCATCCTGCCCACCATCTCCCCCCTTCCAGGGCTTGGCCTTTTACTGCTCTCCCTGCTCCTGGCTCGAGCTGGTGTCTGGGGATTCCCGAGACCACCAGGGAGGTCCCCCCTGAGCCTGCAGGAGTTGCGGAGGGAGTTCAAGGTCAGCCTGCAGTTGGCCAAGAAGCTGTTCTCGGAGGTTCGGATCCAGGCCCACCACTTTGTGAGTCTCCCCATGCAACTGGTTTGGGGGATGGGCAAACCCCCATTCCCTCTGGCTCCCACTAACAGACCTTACCCCACAGGCTGAATCTCAGTTGCCAGGAGTAAGCCTGGACCTCCTGCCTCTGGGAGATCAGCTCCCCAACGTCTCCCTGCCCTTCCAGGCCTGGCACAGCCTCTCTGTGAGTTGGGGGCTGGTGGAGGGGGGCAGGAGAACTGGCAGTAAGGCTGAGCTGGGTGGATGGAGATGAAGTCGGGGATTGAATGGAAAATGGATTTGGGAAGGAATGGAGGAAATAGATCTGGACGAGGTTGAGTATGTCATTGGATATAACGATACAGCTGGAATACAGAAGTGGTGTGAGAATGAGGCTGCACATATGGAGGATGGATGGGATTGGGATTAGGAGTGGGACTAGGGTAGGAAGGAGGTTGGAGACAGGATAAAAACACAAGCTAGTTGACGGACAGGAAAGAGAATGGTGAAGAAGGGGAGAGAGTGGGGCTATGGACAGGGAGTCATGGGATGCCACGTGGAGATGGCGTTGGCTTTGATCCTCAGCCTTTGAGCCTTCCTGATCTCTTCCTTTCTCTCCCACAGGACCCAGAACGACTCTGTTTCCTCTCCATGATGCTTCACCCCTTCCATGCCCTCTTGGAAAGCCTGGGAAGCCAAGGGAGCTGGACTAGCTCTGAGAAGATGCACCTGTGGACCATGAGGCTGGATCTCCGGGATTTGCAGCGGCATCTCCGCTTCCAGGTAGAGTACCCACCCACCTGCTCAACTCCCAGAGACCAACACACAAAATTGAAGCTCATTGGCTCCTTTTTAAAAACATCCCCTGCCCAAAAGTTGGGTAAGTTTGGAGGGAGATGCTCTAGATCCATTCTCTGTGTGTGTGTGTATGTGTGTGTGTGTGTGTGTGTGTGTGTGTGTGTCCGCATCCCCGGCTCTGCTCCCTGAATCTCTGCCTTCCCATGGAGTCTTGGTCTGAACAGCTCTGAAGCACCCAGAACATCTGCTGGCATCAGCAGAGCCTGCAACAAAGCTGGTTCCCTTCTCCTTCAGCCTCTGATCACCAGCTCCTGAACATTTCCAAGGGAAACAGGCATTTTAGTCTTAAACAAATAGAAAATGCCAGCAGCATAAAAACAAACAAACAAACCAAAAAAAAAAAAAAAAAAAAAAAAACTAGCTATACCACTTTTCTGCCTGTTTTGTATCCTAAGACGACCCTGGAATTCCAAATGCCCAGGGCCATCCTGGATGAGTGTACCAGCTCCATGAGCAGCATCTTACCCTGTGACTTCCATTTTCTCAAACCAAAAAATCAGGCGGGCCCCGTGAGATGATGACATAATGGAAGATCTAAAGTAGGGGCTGCCCAGGGAAATCATGATCTTGTGGTCTCTGATGTCATTCTGTACCATTGGGCACAGAAAGGAACAAGGGTTTGCTCCTGGCCTCCCCTTGACCATTGTCTGACCGGTGGGCCTCTCCTGGCAGGTGCTGGCGGCAGGACTCAGCCTTCCTGAGGAGGAGGAGGAGGAGGAGGAGGAGCAGCAGCAGCAGCATGAGGAGAGGAAAGGGCTGCTCGCAGTGGCTCCGGGTGGCCCCTCCCAGACAGCAGTGCAGCCCTCCTGGCCTCAGCTCCTCTACACGTACCAGTTGCTGCACTCTTTGGAGCTCGCCTTGGCTCGGGCCGTGAGAGACTTGCTGTTACTCTCCCAAGCTGGAAACCCAGCCCCACCCGTGGGGCACTCCACATTTGGCTCCCAGCCCTGATGGAGCGACTTCTCAACCCCATTCCTTCACCACCCTTCAGGACCTGGGGGCTGGAGTCTGGGCTGGCAGGACAGCCTGCATCCAGCTCATTTGCCTTAAACAAGGCAAGGCTCCACCGGCTTCCCACCCCAACCCCTACTCAATAACTTAAGACCCCTACAGTCCCTGCCAGATATTTATTTCTTGGATATTTATTTATTGGTTAGGGAAACGATGGTTTATTTATTGTTTCAGAGCCTGCTAGTTGTCCTCCGGCGAGACCACCTTGCGGGCTGCCTAATAAAGCACTCTCATCTTCCCTCAGAGTCAGCTTCTTTTCAGAGAAGGGGTACCTGAAACCCAAAGGGCAAGGGCCTGGGATGGGGTCTATAGCCTCTGGCCACACTGGACCCCTCTCTGCTCCTAAATTCTGGGAGCTCCTGGGCCTACCTTCCTCCAGTCTGGCTACTGGGCTGGTTGTTGCCATAGTAACCAGCAGAGTCACGAGTTTTTGAAAGCTCAAGGCCACTCATCTGTTTGCCACCAACCTCTGATTGCAAATGGAGCTCCATAGACCCTCCTGACCCCTTTCCACTGGGCTAGCTCCTGCCCCAGAGGTTTGTGTGACTGTCCCCCAGCTCTCTGAAGTCCTGGCTGGGGACTGGGAGCAGTCAGGGAGGGAAGGCTATGGGGACTACTGTCCTGTCCCCTTGGTCCTCCAGACAGCTGAGGCAGATTAGAAAGGTGGCCGGGACAGGCCATGAGAGGTGGTCCCAGGGGCCAGGGAGTCCGTCACCACATTGCCAAGTCATGTTCTTCCAAATCATGGTTCTAAAAACGTCTGGCTCTGTCTGCTCCACGAATGACACACGGAGAAACTGAGGCCCAGAGGGTGGGAAGGGTGTATCCAAAGTGGCAGAAGGAGATAGGCCAAGCAGGGTTCAGGGCACCCTCTGAGGACCCTCTGAGCCTCACCCAGGGCCCAGCTCCCAGGGGCTCAGGGCCTTCCCTAGGGTTTCGGTTGGCGCAGTCGGGCTTGTAGTTCCTGCATCATGCCGGAGTGTGCCAGGCCAAACCTGTAGATGGAGACAGATGATGGGAGCCGGTCCCCTGGGGTCTGTGGCCTCCTCCGCACCCCAGCCCCGCCACCTCACTCTGTGCTTACCCACGTCCCAGGGGCCTTCTGGCTGGCAGTGGGGTCCCTTCAGGCTTTGGGGGATTTGGCTCTGGGGGTTTCTCTGGCTGGAGAAGGCTCTGCTCAGGAGGTGCCAGCTCTTCCTCAGATGGGGGGCTTGGAGGCTCTTCCTGCTGCTCTGGGGCTCGGGTCCCACGGAAAGAGGGCCGGGAGCGTCGCAGTGAGGAGCTGCGAGACAGGAGGACACGGCTCCGGGGTATAGACACGTCCAGGAGAGACCCAGGGAGCAGGGCCTGCAGGGAAGGAGGCATAGAGTACCGTGGGGCCGGATTCGAGATTCTGCTCTGCCCAGCCCTGGTCCCTAGCTGGAGCTCTCACCTCACTCCAGCTGTTGAGGGCATCCCCTCCGGCCCCATGCGGCCTAGGCTTGGCCTCTGCAGGCTCCTGGTTTGTTGACTGGTCCTCCTGGCCCTGGACATCCTCCAGGCCTTCTGGAACAATGTCCTTGGCTTCTGCTCCCTGGTCTGTAGTCACCTCAGCATCCTCCACCTCAAGGGACCTTCGTGCCTCTCCCTCAGGGTGGTGGTCTCCACGCTGCCCCTCCCTGCCTTGCCCCTGCTCCTTCATCTGCCATCCCACAGCCTCCTTTTCCAATAGCATCTGCCCTCCTCGGAGGCCCTCAGCCTCCACAGTGGCCACAGCCCTCTCTGCCCTCACCACCTGGGAGCCTGAGGTAAAGCCATCCACCCCACAGCTTCCTTCTGCCACGGCAGGTTCCCTGAGCTCAGCCCACTCTCCCCTGGGCTCATCCTCTCTGGCCTCCAAAGCCTCTGCTTGGCCCTCTCTGCCAGTCACCTCCTCCGCTGAGCCCTCCACGCCAAACTCCGGCCCACCTTGGTTTTCTCCTGGTGCAGCCTCTACCAGTTCTTCGCCTCCCCCAGCCTCCTGCCTCCCTTCTGAGTCCCAAGCTTCCCCAGCCTCTCTTTTGGGCCCTTCCCCAGCTCCAACAGCCCTTCCATCCAGAGCTGCCATCTCCCTCACTATCTCAGTAGCTAAAGAACTGGCCCCTGGGTCCTCGCTGTCCTGGAGGCTCAGAGCAGTCTCCTCCAGCCTCCCGTCTCCACTGAATGTTGTGTCTGCCCCCCAGGGCACTGTGGCCTCCACCTCCTCATCCTCTGTTTCTCTGGCATCTGACTTTCCCAGTGACTGACCTGTCCCTGCATCTGCCCCATGCCTTCCACCCAGCTCTTGGCTCTCTGGTGCAGGGACCTCTCCCTCCTCGGCTCCACACCCTGCTTCCTGGGCTTTCTTCCACTCCCCGATTGCCTCCAGGACACCTGAGAGGGCAGACTCTTGGCCTCCCTTGGCCTCCTTTGGTGCCTGGCCTCCTGAAGCCTCCTCCTCCTCCTCTTCAGCACCTTTTTCCTGGGCATCCTCTCTCTCCACACCCATTCTCTGGTTCTCCCAGACTTCTGCCCCAGGGGCACCAGGCTTTACATTTCCCATGTTCCTGGGATCTTCTTCCAGGTTCTCTTCTGTCTCTCTGCTCAGGGCTGAAACGCCCCAGAGCTCTTCCTCACCCCCCTGTCCCTCCCCAGGCTGCTCTGTCAGGGTCTGGGGGCCTGCCATCAGCTCAGCTTCCTGGCCTGCAGTGACCTCATGCTCAAGGTCACCCAACATCACCCCCTGTGCTTCTGCAACTGTCTGAGCCTCTTCCTCGCTCCTCTCTCCGCTGAACTCCTTCTCAGGACTGCTGGTCTCTGGGGCTGCCTCCAGGTCAGCATCCCCTTCAGACTCATTTGCCACTTTGTCCTTGGGCGACTCAGCCTCTGCGGCCCAGCAACCCTCTTTCTCCTCTCTAGCCATCTCTGCCTGCGCCACCTCCTCCACACTGGCTGGAACAGTCCCGATCACAGAGGCTTGCCTCCCCTCGGCCTCTATCACTCTCTGATCTGCCTGGACCTCAAAGCCTTCCTCTACCTTCCTCTCTGACCCCTGGCCTTCTGTAGCCTCTCTCCCTGCTGTCTGGTCCTTAGATGCTTCTTCCATGTCCTCAGTTCCCAGGGCCTGGGTCTGTTTGGGGGAAAACCTCATCTCAGCCTCTCTATTCTCATCCACCTCATCCTCCTGATCTCCCCAGGAGGCCTCCTCGAATGCCCAGGCCTTCCCGGTGCCCTCTGAGATCCTTTCTCCTGAGACTTCCCCATATTCGGTCTTCCTGGCTCCTGAGAGATCATCTTCCTTCCCAACTGAGGTTGTCCTGGCCTCTCTCCAGCCTAAAGGTATCCCATCCTTCCCCCTGCCTAAGGCTGTCTCAGCCTCCTCCTCCCTGCCTGAGGCTGTCTCAGCCTCTTCCCCACCTGAGGCTGTCTTGGCTTCTTCCTTTTCTGAGGCTATGCTCTCCTCTCCCCTGCCTGAGACTGTCTCATCTTTCCCCCTGCCTGTGATTGTTCTATCTCCCTCTCCACCTGAGATCCTCTCATTGCGCTCCCCACCTGAAGTAGTCCTGGCTTCCTCCCAATATGAGGCTGCGTCATCCTTCTCTCTGCCTGAGGCTGTCCCATCCTCCTCCCTGCCCAAGGCTCTTCTATCTTCCTCCTCCCTGCCTGAGGCTATTCCAGCTTCTTCCCTTTCTGAGGTTATGCTCTCCCCTCCCCTGCCGGAGACTGTCTCATCTTTCCCCCTGCCTGAGATTGTCCTGTCCCCCTCCCCACCTGAGACTGTCTCATCCCCCTCCCTACCTGAGGTTGTCCTGGGTTCCTCCGTGTCTGAGGCTGTCCCATCCTCCTCCTTGCCTGAGGCTATTCTATCCTCCTCCCCCACTGAGATTTTCTCCTTGTCCTCCCTGCCTGAGGCTGTCCCATCCTCCTCCCCACCTGAGGTTGTCCCAGCCTCCTCCCAGCCTGAGACTGTCCTAGTTTCCTCCCTGCCTAAGGCTGTCCTGTCCTCACTTTCTGTCCCTGGCTCCTGTGTTTCCTGTGCCCTCATGCTTCGACTGCCCCTGAGGACCACCCTCACCTCTTCTTCCTTCCCAGCCTCTTTGGTTGCAGATCCCTGGATCTTCTCTGCAACTGCCTCCTTGATCTGCTGCTCTAATGACTCCCTGTTGTCCCCTGCTACTTTCTGCCCATCAGCACCTACCTCCCCCTCAGGGTCCCTGTGCCAGGTCCACTGTGACTCCGCCTCCTTTGCCACCTCTGGTTTTCCTTCCTTGACCTCTTCCGCCTCCTCCTCCTGTTCCCAGGTTCTCAGTGTCTCCTCTCTGTTCACTTCCTGCTCACTGGGCCCTCGACTCTCCTGGACTTGGCTGCTGTTGTCTTGACCAGCCTCAGACCCTGCCTCGGACTCCTCTCTAGCTTCTAAGTGGGCACTTGGCCCCTGGCCCCTGGCAGCCTTGGATGCCTCCCGGACCCCAATGTCCTGCCCATCTGCCTGAGACCCATGGGAGCTGCCTTCTTCCCAACCCCAGGTCTGTTCTGTAGCTGAACCTCCCTCCTGGCATCTTCCAGCCTCTCTGGGCCCTCTCAGCCCTCCATCCTCCTTGCTTTGGCTGCCTCCAAGGCCCTCCAGGGCATCCTGGGCTTCCTTCTCTTCGGTCTTCCCTGGCCTTCCTGCAGCCACCTCCCCCAGTTCCTCGGCTACCCTTGCTGCCTTCCTCTCTGCGGTGGGGACCTCATCTCCCATAAAGTAGGAGACAAAGGAGCTGAGGGAGTCCTGGAAGAGAAGGGGGAAGGGACAGAGGCATTAAAGGGAGGCCCAGCCCTCTCCCTTGGGACTTTGGCCCAGAGGAACTCAGGCCACAGAAGGGCTCTGGAATCTGGGAGGGGAAAGAACTGGATTTGCAGGAGGAAGAGGAAAGGGTTAGATTAGGGGTAGGGGGACATGTCTGTAGAGGTGGGAGGATTGAAACCCAGAAACACTCAGGCTAGAAGACTACCTGATCCTGGGGAAGGGATCTCGAGTCTGAGGAGAGTTTCAAAGGGAAGAAGGAAGGTGAGGCCCCAGGGAGCAGGATGAAAGCCTCTGGCATCTCTTTGCCCCTCTCACCAGTGCTCCCCTCAAGGCCTGATGCAGCCCAGGGAGATGTAGCCGAAGGAAATCCATCCTGTCTGTCTCTGTCTGTGTGTCCAGAAAGCTGACAAATGACTGTCCCCACCCACGGAGACAAGCCAGTCTTCCCCAGGGCCCAAGACACTTCCTCTTCCCCTGTGTCTCCCTGACACATCCCCTGTCCAGGCCCTGCCCACCTTCTGCAATGCCTCAGCAGCTTCCAGCCCTGGCTGGGAAATGGGCGTGTATCACACGGAAAGCTCAGGTGCATATCTGGAGCTGAAGGGCGAGGGGGGAGCCATAAAGAAAAAACTTGGAAGCAGGAGATCTCAGAACTGGGGAGGGGGAAGGGGGCTGTGGCAACTGCAGCTCAAGTGACTCAGGTCTTGTATTCACACCTCAGCCATTTCCGGCTCCCCCCCAAGCCACAGCTACTCTGTGAGAGGAAGCTGGGGTTTGTGGTTCCTGTTTTGCCTAGGGACAAGGAGTAGGAGAGAAGAGGAGCTGGTAAGAGCTCTGGCTTCTCATTTAAGGGTCATTAATGCTTCCCCAAGGGGAAGAGGGGGCTGAGTTAGTGGCTCCAGTGCCCATTCCCCCATCCGTAGTCATTGTTGCGAAACAAAACTTGGCTAAGCTTTGTATTGTGGTTATTTGTGTCTACCTCCCACCCTCCTATGAGTTCCTTGAAGGCAGAGGCCACGTAGGACATGTTGCTGAGTTTGCAGGGCCCCACAAGGGTAGTAGGACACCATTTTTCATTGGTTGAGTAACCTGGGAAGCAGACCAGAGGGGGCACATTTCAAACAGCAGTCTGAGGACTTGGTGGTGAGAGAGCTGGTAGAGGTGGGCACCAGCCGTAGAAGCCCATAGAAGAGATTAGCAGGGGAAGGACTCAATGAAGAAAATTCAGGATGCTGCTTTACCACCTAGAGGAAGAAGGTAAGAGAATAATCACTTGGTATTTTGGATTATGTGAAGTGGCTTTGATCTGTACCTCATCCCCCAATCCCCTCCCTGATCACCCAATTCGAGGAACTAGATGAGGTCAGAGAATCAGAATCTTTGACCTTAGTATCCTCGAGTCTAAGCACTCTTAGGCAGGAATTCTGCAGCCTGCAGAGCCAAGCACACCTGTGGTGCTCTACTTCCTTTTTTTTTTTTTTTTTATTTATGATAGTCACAGAGAGAGAGAGAGAGAGAGAGAGGCGCAGAGACACAGGCAGAGGGAGAAGCAGGCTCCATGCACCGGGAGCCCGATGTGGGATTCGATCCTGGGTCTCCAGGATCGCGCCCTGGGCCAAAGGCAGGCGCCAAACCGCTGCGCCACCCAGGGATCCCCTTTCTTTTTTTTTTCTAAGATTTTTATTTATTTATTCATGAGAGACAGAGAGAGAGAGAGGGAGAGAGAGAGAGGCAGAGACACAGGCAGAAGGAGAAGCAGGCTCCATGCACCGGGAGCCCGATGTAGGACTCGATCCCGGGTCTCCAGGATCGCGCGCCCTGGGCCAAAGGCAGTCGCCAAACCGCTGCGCCACCCAGGGATCCCCTATTGTTAAAAGGGTCTCTAAGGTCAGCTTTAGGTCTAACCTTACATCATCACTAGCAAGTTTCCTTTTTGTTTTCTCATCTGTAAAACCAGGGCTTGGACTATTTCTGTGATATTCTTTGGTTCTTGGATAATTTGGCAAAAGGGATCTCTTTAATGCTTTGGATGTTGCCAATAGATAGAAATCCTCTTAAGTGAGAGTGATCTTTATTTTCAGTTCTGAAAAGCAATCTAAGGGCAAGAGATAGGAAGTAAGAATGCCTCGAAGCTGGCTTTGTTCGCAGTCAGAAACAGGGACGAGAGTGGCCAGGTGGCCATTTTTATTTCTGGCAATTGAAGGCCGGCAGAGGAGCTGAAGCCGCTCACTGCCATGACTAGTGCTGGCAGGATAGCGTCAAGACCTTGGGCGCCGCTAGTGTAACGTCACCGCTCTTCTTGCTGATCCTACCCGCTCCAGTTTTAAACCAGCGGTTCCAGCGTTCCCCCGGCCTCTCTCTGTCCCCCGCCGCGCGGCTAGGAAGGCCTGAAGCGAAGACACAGAGAGCACCCGGAAGTTGTGGTGACCTCCAAGCACGTGATGAGGAGCCCGCTGGTGCTGTCACGTGACCCGCCAACCTGCGGTACCTCGGGGCCGAACTTGCAGCTGCTCTTAAAGGTACAGACCGCGCAGCCCCCTGCTTTAAAGGGGGCTGGGGCAGAGTCCCACGGGTGGGCCGTGGTGGGGGGTGCGAGGGCGCGAGATGGAGCCCCGGGGTAACTCGGTGGGGCGCCCGGCTCGAGTGCAGCGGAGAAGCCGGAGATGGGACCTGCAGTGGGGCGTTGATTCTTCTCGGCTGTCGCAGACCCTCACCCGCCCGGTCGGAGCCAATTCTGGACGCTCCCTGACTTTGAACCCTTCGTGGGACCTGAACTTGATGCCATGGGAGGTTGTGCGGGCTCGCGGCGGCGCCTTTTGGATTCGGAGGGTGCGTATTCCCGCCCGCCCTCCCGAGAGTGACAGCCTCTGCCCCGCAACCCACCCGACTTGGGGCTCGGGCGCGGGCTCGGGGGGGGGGGGGGGGACACCTGTGGCACCTTCGTGCACCTGCGAGGGAGGTGGGGTTCATGCTGTTCTCTTCTCGCCCTCTCAGAGGAGGAGACCGCCCCGGAACCTCGGCCCCCTCGGTCTGACCATAAGGGAGCCCTTTGGAAGAACGTGATGGGTTTCTGGTGAGTGGTCTGAACACTTCAGTAGAAGTAAAAATGGGGTGAAAAAAGTTGGGAAGCAATAGGAGGAAAGAGGGAAGGAAGAGTTGAGCTGGGAAAAAGGAGTTGAATTCACAAATATTTACTGAAACCAGTTGGCTTGCCCTGAGGCAGCGTGTAAATCTCCAAGACTTCACTCATTTACTTAACCACCTTCAAATTTGGGGCAGATGCTCAGATCACCTGTAGGACTACTTACTTTCGTGTTTTTACTCCAAACAGTTCAGACTTTAAATTTGTAAATACATGTTTTTTATTTTTTTTATTTTAGTCTATCTTTTAAAAGATTTTATTTATTCACGAGAGGCAGAGACATAGGCAGAGGGAGACTCAGGCTCCATGCAGGGAGCCTCATGTGGAACTCAATCCCAAGACCCTGGGATCACACCCTGAGTGACAGGCACTTAACCACTGAGCCACCCAGGTGTCCCAATACATGTGTTTTTTAAAAGAAATCTTTATTTTATTTTTATTTATTCACCAGAGAGACATAGGCAGAGGGAGAAGCAGGCTCCATGCAGGGAGCCCTAGGTGGGACTCGATCCTGGGACTGCAGGATCATGCCCTGGGCCAAAGGCAGGTGCTAAACCGCTAAGCCACTCAGGCATCCCTGAAATCTTTAAATCATTACTGTAGATAGAAAGCCAGTGTTTTTTCTAATGCATGTTTTTATAAATGCACCCCCACTTTTTAAAAGATCAACCATCTAAAACAAAAGAAAAGGGATGCTTGGGTGTCTCAGCTTTTGAGCCTCTGCCTTCAGCTCAGTGCGTGATCCTGGGATCCAGGATGGAGTCCCACATCCGGCTCCCTGTGAGGAGCCTGCTTCTCCCTCTGCCTGTGTCTCTGCTTCTCTCTGTGTGTCTCTCATGAATAAATAAATCTTTAAAAAAAATAAAAGCTCATCCATCTACCTTCTGAAATCATTCTGATATTGAGCCTTGGGAAATCCTTCTAGGGGCTAACCTAACATTGAGGGCTTGGGTGGCACACTGGGTTGGAAGTGACTTCCCATGTGACTCTGGAAGAGGCCTGTAACCTCTCCGAGCCTCAGCTTGACAGCCGCAAAATGAAAAGAATGGTGGGACCATGTCATGGACTTGTGAAAAGAGCACATGAAATCTCTGGCACTGGGCGCAGTTCCTTTCCCATCACTGAGGGTAGCTCTGGGAAATGAGAGTAAGCAAAAAAGATCTTTGGTGGGTCATAGAAGGCTTTGGTATTGTTTTAATCCCCACAGGCCCCTGTGAAGTGGTGAGAAGAAAAACTTGTGTCCCCATTTACACATGAGTAGACCGAGGCTGCTCAAGTTGAAAGCGGCAGTCTTTGAGACCTGAACAGGGTCCTTTGGGCTTCGAGCCCCAGGATCTTTGTACTGCTGCACAGCACATCAGAGATGGAGGAACAATGGATGAGAAATGCCCCAGGAACTGAATTATGGTGGAAGCTTGGAGAGAGTCATCAAGGATGACTTTTTAAAAAAATTTTTATTTATTCATTCATGACACACACACACACACACACACAGAGGCAGAGACCCAGGCAGAGGGAGAAGCAGGCTCCACACAGGGAGCCTGACGTGGGACTCGATCCCAGGTCTCCAGGATCAGGCCATGGGCCGAAGGCGGCGCTAAACCACTGAGCCATCCAAGCTGCCCGACTTCTTTTCCTGAGAGGGATAAGGTGTGAACCCAAGTCTGTCATCGCAAACCCTGTATTTCTAACCCTAACACTGAAACGGAGATGGGGTCTGGTGATAGAGAACAACAAGGGAGTTGATTAAAAACCACAGGAGGGGAGATTTGGTGCTAGGACTGTGGGTAGATTGTATTGTAAGCATGGAAGGAGGTTAATACCTGTTTATATGTCAGTTATATCTCAGTAAAACTGGATCGGGGGGAAAAAAGTCCATCCTGTTCACTCTAGGCTCCTGGGCCTTTGCAACAACTTCTCTTATGTGGTGATGCTCAGCGCTGCCCATGACATCCTTAGCCACCAGAGGGCATCTGGGAACCAGAGCCATGTAAGTGATCCTCTCTACCACCACCCGACCATGTTTAGTCAGGGGAAGATGAGGGACTCACTCTAGAGCAGGGACCCCTTTGAAAAACTCATGGAATGGGGTGGCCAAGGAGTGGGGCAAGGGGGTTAAAGTTCCCAGTCTCCCAGACCACAGAGCGGGAAGGGTTTTTGAGAATCAAATGGTGCCACCTATGCAAACTCAAATGTGGGTGAGGCCATGGTCTATAGCAGCGTTCCTTAACCCTCGTGCTGTTAATTTTAGGCTGTAGCATTCTTTGTTGTGGGACTTTCATGTGCATTGTGTAGTGCTTAGCAGCACCCTAGCGGGTCCTCTACCCGCCAGATACTAAGTGTACCCCGTTTTCCAGTTGAGACACGAATGTCTCCAGACATTGCCAACTGTTCCCTGGGGGGTATAATCAGTTGAGAATCTCTTGTCTGTGATGAGCTGGAGTGGGGGGTGCTGGAGTAGCCACCACCTTGCAAATCCAACAGGGAATTTGGTCCAAGACCAGCTTTTTGGGAAACCTAATTTTTAATTTGTTTTTTTGGATGAATAGCTACAAAGACTTTATCAAATTATTTTAAATGTTAGCATTTACATATTCTCGTGTATACATAGAATAGTTATTTGGAATCCTCAGGCCATGGGGTTGCTAATGTGTCCACATGTGAGGTTGGTGGGGAAAAAATGAGACCAGGCTGGGAGCCAAAGGGCTTTAAAAAATTGGAAATCCTCCTAGGGGTTTAAGAAGAGTAGGTCGAAGAGGAAAGGGTCACTGAGGGAGTTTGGTTTAACCCCACCCTCACAGATTTCCAGCTGAATCTCCTTTCCCGTTCTTCGGGGAAAGGGACCCATTTCCAGCCTGTATGCCTACTGCATGTATATGCCCGCTCCCTAAAATTGACATGGCAAACATACCCAAGCTTCCAGTGGGATAGGGCCTTATAAATATATTTATCTCAGAGAAAATAAGGCACTTTGGGAGCATTACAAATTCACTCCTACCTGTACATTGTTCTAGACAGAAAGTAAAAATTTGGGAACCCCAATTTTTTTGGATGAAAGCTCCTGAATATGTTACCCAAGTAGAGCCCATTTACAGAGCCACTTTTGGCCTTTGGGTCCTTAATTTGAACTTTCTACGATGGTAACCTCACCCTCCCTGTTGTGCACTTAGAGAAACTGAGACCCCAAGAGGCCAGACCCAAGGCCATCCTCCAAGTTAGGGCTGAGCTGGGACTGGAGCTAGGCCCTTTGTGTGTGTCTCCTCTTGGCTCTGTAGGTGAAAGATTCTTTTCCATAATCAGGTGGACCCAGACCCTCCGCCTACTGCCCACAATAGCTCATCTCGATTTGACTGCAACTCTGTCTCCACGGCTGTGAGTACCCACCTGGTCCTCCCCAACCCCTGCCACCCCCACCCCTCAGCACCTGGCTGCTGCCATCATGATGATCATAATTAAGACTGAAGTTTCCTAAGCCTTTTCTGTGTGTAGCATACTTTATGTCCTGTGATCGTCACAGTGCTACTAGGAGCTAAGCACTGTAAGCATCTCCCCCCTGTCCCCCATATTCTAGGTCAGGGAACTGAAGCTCAGATAATGCACATGTCTTGACACAAAGCTACAGAGCAGCAGAGCTGGGACTTAAACCCAGATCTCTCTGACCTCAGAGCCTGTGTCTGTAGCAGGTCAACCTGGCCGGTGTCTGTCTTTCCTTGGCCGCTTGGTTGGGAGGCTTGTCGCTGGGACCGTCAGGGATCTCACTCTGTTCTCCTGTTCCAGGCAGTGCTCCTGGCAGACATCCTCCCCACCCTCATCATCAAACTGCTAGCTCCCCTTGGTCTGCATCTGCTGCCCTACAGGTCTGGGTGGGATGGCAGGAAGAAGGGCAGGTGGGATCTGAAGTGGGGGTGGGGGAGGGCGGTAGGGGGAGGCTGGGAGGTTGGGAGGGCTGGGGAGTTGCAGCAGTGGAAGCTGACCTTCCTCTGCCCTGCCTACCTCTTGCCCCTCAGCCCCCGGGTTCTTGTCAGTGGGATTTGTGCCGCTGGAAGCTTCATCCTGGTTGCCTTTTCTCATTCAGTGGGGACCAGCCTGTGTGGTGAGTGTGAGGTTCTGTGTCAGGTGGGGAACTCAGATGAACCAAAACAGAGCATTGCAGGGGTAGTCTTCCCAACTTCTGAGAGGAAAGGGATTGTTTTTATACCCTCAGTCCTTCTGGGACTGTCACAAGTAGGAGTTGGGAGATGAGGTCATTTTGGAGGGATGGGTGATGGCCAGAGGACGGTGGGGGCTGAGCTAGGAGGAAATGGATGGAGTATAGGTAGCTGGAGGTGAGCAGGGTCACCAACACCCCCTGTCATGGGGGTGGCTGAGGCATCAGGGATGAGTTCTCGTTCCGGAGCTGACACCTGGTAGATAGAGGTACCATTCATTTCCTATAAGAGGGCATGCTGGGAAGCAGGTTGGTTCTTGGTTCTCTTCCAGATCTGAAGCATCCCCTGTCCAGGGGATCTGTTTTTAGTCCCTCTGAGCTGATGCAGAGGAGGCCATGGCCAGATACCTCAGGGGATCAGGGCTATGGGGGTGTGTGGCCACTGGCATGCTTGTCCTCCCACCAGGTGTGGTCTTGGCCAGTATCTCGTCAGGTGTGGGAGAGGTCACCTTCCTCTCACTCACTGCCTTCTACCCCAGGTAAGCAGGTGGATCAGGGAGTGAGGGAGAGGACCTTCCGATGCTGGCTGTGATCCTTGCTCATCTCTTGTGTTCTTCTCAGGGCTGTGATCTCCTGGTGGTCCTCAGGAACTGGGGGAGCAGGACTGATGGGAGCATTGTCCTATCTGGGCCTCACCCAGGCTGGCCTCTCCCCTCAGCACACCCTACTGTCCATGCTGGGTATCCCCGCCCTGATGCTGGCCAGGTAGGCTGCCTAGGCTGGGAGGGTGAGGGATTCGAGGAGAGAACTAGATCAGATGCTCCCAATCTTTGGATCCCCACAGCCTTGTAATGTGGGGGTATGGATTCTGGACTGTGATAGGCCTGCTTTGAGTTCTGGAGCTGCTGCTTGTTGGCTGTATGGTGTAGGACAAAGTACTCTACCTGTCTGGTCCTCCTTGCTTCCCCGTGTCAAGCATCTGGTACAGTGTGGGTCCCAAGATGACTTGAAGGGGACAAGGGTGGACTTTACCTTATTAATTTTGAGTGTATTAGGAGAACGTTTTAAGTAGCCAATCAAACCTGTCATTTTACAGATTATTGCTTAGGACAAGGCCACATAGAAAAAGTGAATTCATTTAAAGGAAAATGATGAGCAAAAAATATTTTGTATAGGATGAGTGTAAACACAGCCAATATAGAAGAGACTGAAATTTCCAAAGTTCTGGCCCAGCATGGAATGAGTACATGGTAAATGGTAGCCAGAGCGATCATTAGAATAACAATGACAAGAAAACAGAGTTGACTTGCTTGGTGTGAGCCATGAGTCCAAACAAGGGCCGGTGGGTATAAACAACAAGGAGACAAATTTCTGCTCCTTTCTGCAGTTGTGGCTCTCTGGCACAGGATGAGGGGGCCTACAAGGAGTATAGGAATGATGAGGGGCTGCCCTGGGAGGGCGGGCACTTCGATCTCATCTCCATCCCACCCGTTCCTAGCTATTTCTTTTTGCTCACATCTCCTGAGCCCCAGGACCCTGGAGGGGAAGAAGAGGCAGAGACATCAGCGCGGCAGCCCCTGATAGACAGTGAAACCCCAGAGTCGAAGCCAGGTAGGAGACTTGGGGTCCCTCAGACTCGTCACTCTCTCTGAAAGGGCACCAGCCTTTCTACTCTACAGTGGACACAGTCAGGAAGGGAGGTGGACGGCAGTGCTGGTTAGGGTAAGAGCCAATTGCATCCATCTATTCAAGAATACTCACTGGGACACTTAGGTGGCGCAGTCAGTTAAGCAACCGGCTCTTGATTGAATCTCAGCTCATATCAGGGTCATGGGATCAAGCCCCCTGGGCTCCACAATGAATGTAGAGCCTGCAAAAGAGCTTCTCAGTGAGTGCTTACGATGTGCTGATCACTAGGGGTACCAGGTGCACAACATGAGGAATGGGGGCAGATTCATAAACAAGTAGCTGAATCAGAAACATGTTATTTTCGAGCCTTGGTAAGTGCTGGCCAGACATAAAGCAGAGAGGGTTGCTAGGAACTGAGGGAAATAGAGAAGGGTCCTACCTGGAGGAAGTGGTCTGAGAAAACCTTTTTGAGGAGATGTCATTGGCCTGAAATTTGAATGACAGGGAGCCAGCCTTATGGACAGCAAGGTGAACAGGCTGCGGGCAGAGCGAACAGCAGTGGGGCGCACCTGGGTGACTCAGTTGGTTAAGCGTCTGCCTTCATTCATTCATGATCTCAGGGTCTTGGAATCAAGACCTACGTCAGGCTCCCTGCTCAGTGGGGAGCCCGCTTTTCCCTCTCCCTCTGCTGCTTCCTCTGCTTGTGTCTCTCACTCACTGTTAAATAAACAAATAAAATCTTAAAAAAAAAAAAAGATCCTGTGTTGGGAATGAACTTGGATGGTCAAGAAACGGAAGGGGCCAGTGTGGCTGGGTTGGAGAGATAAAGCTATCAAAGTGTACAAGAGCTATGGAGAGGTCCCACCAGTTAATTCCTTTTTTTTTTTAATTGTGGTAAAATATATTTAACATGAAGTTTACCAATTTAACCATTTGAGAGGGGGGCAGGGACAGAGGGAGAGAGAAAATCTTAAGTGCAAAGGAATCTCACAACCCTGAGATCATGACCTGAGCTGAAACCAAGTCAGACGCTTAACCAAATGACCCCCCCCCCCGCCCCAGGACTCCTTAACCATTTTTAATTGTATAATCCAGTGGCATTTAAGTACCTTCATGCAGTGAGTGTGAATGTGGTTGGTTCTTACCCACCAGCACACCTCTGCCGAGTCCATGTGCCAATCTCACCTTCCTTTCCCTCCCCGTTTCCCTGCAGACTCCAGCTCAAACCTCTCCCTTCAGGAAAGGTGGACTGTGTTCAAGGTATGGTTGGTGGCTGTGGCGAGGCCCCCACCCTCACAGCCAGTGCCTGCCTGCCAGCTTTCCACTTATGTCTTCTGACTCTTCCAGGGCTTGCTATGGTACATTATCCCCTTGGTCCTAGTTTACTTTGCGGAGTATTTCATCAATCAGGGGCTGGTGAGTGAGGGTTGCAGGGAGGGGTGCAAGTCACAATAGAGGCAGGGGCCCCACTTGTCTCTGACCGTCTACCCTCTGTGCTCTTTGCTGCAGTTCGAGCTCCTGTTCTTCCGGAACACATCCCTGAATCATGCTCAGCAGTATCGCTGGTAAGAAGAGTGAGATGGGGCAGCAGGATGGGCGGGGGGCTGGGAGGGCCCCTTGATGATGGGGCAGGCAGCAGCTGGGGCCATCCTGCTGAGTAGGGGCCCAGAGGGGCTTCCTTCTCCTCTCTGCCCCCTTCAAAGGTACCAGATGCTCTACCAGGCTGGCGTCTTTGTTTCCCGTTCTTCTCTCCGTTGCTGTCGCATCCGTTTCACATGGGTCCTGGCCCTGCTGCAGGTACCAAGCCTGGCTCTCCCTCCATTCCCTCCTTGGCTCCCAGCTACCCAAGACCCCAGGTCTCCTTCCCTCCGCAGGAAGTGTTTCTTGCCCACTGTCAGGTTGTCTGGGGAACAGAGAAGGCCAGCAGGACTCCAGTTCTGTATAAAATGTGTGGCCTTGGGAAACCTGGCAAACGTGGATGCAAATCCCACCTTCTGTTCTCTGCAGTTGTGTGACTTAGGGCAGGTCTCTAAACCAGTCCAAGATGAGAGTTCCTCATCTCTGAATCAGGTGTGGCCAACATCTGCTTCTCTAGGTAGTTATAAAAAATAGAGATGAGAAGAAGTGTTTTAGAGCACTAGAAGTACTTCCTTGATGATTTTCTCAAGCTTCATGCTGAGACACAGGCTTTCAAATAATATCTCTGTGGATAAAAAAAAAAATGATGCACTGGTCTTTTACTCTGGATGGTTCATTATGATAGAACCAGTGATGTTGTAGCCAACAAGTTATTTACCGCCAGGCTGGTGAGCAAATTTAACTTCCTGTTGCAGAACTATGACAGCCTTAAGTGAACACACACCATTCTCTCCCATGGTCTAACTGAAGTAGCTTCACATAACCAGCCTTCATTGTTTCAAAGTCCAGGGTCTCTTAGCCCCTGAAGGTAACTATCAAAATAAACTTTCCATTAGTCCAGGGAAGTCATTTTTAATTAACTGAGCCTGATTCTAGGATAACAAGATATAGAACAAATCTAGGTTGCACTTGAATGTTTCGACAGTACTGTGTGAATGCCCTGTAGCTTTCTTCCTTATTTTTCTGAACAGTACCGCCCGCCCAGGGCCCTGTACCACCAAAGTCCCAAATTGTTGTATCAACAATTCTGAACTCAGGGTTCTTCATTAGATGCCACTGACATGGGTAGCTTAGGATTTTAGCTGTAATTTTAACCAAGGCTGCTCCGTAGAATTAGTGGCTTATCATCATTTAATTCTATTACAGAAAGTGTGTAGCCCCATGACACAGACAAAAGTGTTGGTGGTGTACTGCCAGTCACATTAGTATCACCGCATGTGTTCTTTTAAATGCAGACCTCTGAGCTCACCTCAGACTTAATGAATTAGAATCTTCAAGGGCAAGGCTTTTGTGGGTCACAAGGTGCCCAGGTGATCTGTATGTACATTGTGCATGAACCACCATGGCCGCCTACGTATTGGCAAGGCAACCCTACATGCTTGGGCCTGGGACACTGGGATCCTCTGAAGGACTGGGGCACAGAGGAGGGACCTACCCCCGTGGGTGGGGCAAGAGTAGCTTCCTAAGAGACATGAGAACACCTCACCCAGAGTTTCTCAACCTCGGCCTTATTGACATTTGGAGTTGAATCATTTGTTGCACGGCTATCCCATGCACTGCAAGGTGTTGAGCAGCATCTATGGCCCCAGGCAACTCCCTCCCCACTTGAGACAGCCCAGAACATCTTTAGACATTGCCAAATGTCCCCTGGGTGGCAAAAATCACACCCAGTTGGAAACTACTGGTCCACCCAAAGCCTCAGTCTGGTAAAATGGTGGGAGAGGGGTGGGCCTCTCTCTTCAGGGAGCCCTTGGGAGGAGGCATGAGAACCCAGGAGCAGGAGAGATCCTGTTCCTAGTTGAGCTGCGAATAGTGGTGACCAGGAGATCTTAAGTGAGGGAAGGGGAATAGTGTCCAGGAGTGACATGAGACATGAGCCAAGGTGAGGTTGGGGGAGGGACTTAGAATGTCTAGGGTGCTGGGACAGGATAGGAAGGCCTACCCCACATCCAGGGTCTGGTAGGCCAGCTGGGTGTTGGGATTTGATCCGGGTCTGTCAGCCCTCTCCTCAGCATCTCCCAGAACCAGGGGCCACTGGATGGGATCTCAGCCTCTGGTCCCAGGCTCAGCCTTCCCCTCCACCTGCATCCCCAGTGCCTCAACCTGGCCTTCCTGCTGGTGGACGTGTGGTTCAGCTTCCTGCCCAGCATCTACCTCGTCTTCCTGATCATTCTGTATGAGGGCCTCCTCGGAGGTGCTGCCTATGTGAACACCTTCCACAACATTGCCCTGGAGGTCAGTACCAGCTGGGCAAGGGCTGCGGGGTGGGGGGAATGGGGGGGTGTCTAGGATTGAAGCCTCACCCCTGCTTCCTGTCCTCCCCAGACAAGTGACCAGCACCGGGAATTTGCCATGGCAGCTGCCTGTATCTCAGACACTTTGGGAATCTCCCTGTCAGGGCTCCTGGCCCTGCCTCTGCATGACTTCCTTTGTGACCTGTCTTGATACTCTGGCTTCTCAGGACATGGAAAACACTAACCTAGGCCTACACTGACAGACAGGTGAGCGCTGGCGCACAGCCCAGAGCCAACTCACCAGCTCCGCTTCAGACTTTCCAAGGGCAAGCAGCGGGGGCACAGAGAAGTGCTCAGGTCCCATCCCCCCTTTGAGCAAGAGCCCACGAGGTTTTTGCCTACTCCCAGGCTGGCCTTGGGGAGTTTCTTCACAGCGTGACTTCCTCACAATAAATGCCTGTTTTACCAATTGTATCAGTTGACTCCTGTGCCATTTTTCTTCCTGAAAGAAAAAAAAAACGTTCTTTTGTTATAGAAGTAATAAAAACGGACTTTGGAATATGTGCAGGAGAGTATAAAGAAAGCATTTCAGCAGATCTCTACCTATTCTTTGAGACTTTACTCATATACTCATTCATTCACTGTATGGGGCAATCTACATTTATTTTTCTCCAATGTAAGTTTTCTATAAGTTTTCAAACATACAGAGAGATTGAAAGAATTCCCAGAATAAGTGCTCATGTATGTAAGACTGGGTTCTATGGGGAACATTTTGCTACAGTTACTTTATCACATGTGTAACACTCCATCCAAATGAAGTCTTACTTTTGCAATATATTTCAAAGTAGGAGGCTGACTCTAATACACTTCCCTCTGTTTTTTTTTTTTTTAAGACTATTTTTAAGTAATCTCTACGTCCAACATGGGGCTTGAACTTGCAATCCTGAGATCAAGAGTCTCACACCACCAACTGAGCCAGCCAGGTGCCCCTAATATAGTTCCATCTAGATGCTTCAGCATGTGTATTAGCTAGAATCTGGTATTTTTATATAGTCCTTTTTTTAAGTTGTTTTTTTTAAGATCTTATTTATTCATGAGAGAATTTGTGAATTTTATTTATTCATACCCTGAGCCAACGACAGATGCTCAACCACTGAGCCACCCAGGTGCCCTACAAATGATTATATATTTTTAAAGTAATGCTGGCTCAGTAGTGTTTCCGATACTCCCATATTTGCCATGTATAACAGTACTTTTATTCACTTAATATTTTTCATTAAATGACTTTTAATATAAAATTTTTAAGGGATACTTAATGGGAGGGACTATTGAAATCATGAGTTTGAAATGCTAGTTACATATTTTTTCTACAACACTTTAAAATAAATGCAGATAGTCCCTGACTTATGATGATTAGACTTAATGATTTTTCAACTTTACAATGATGTGAGAGCAATAGCCATTCAGTAGAAGCTATACTTCAAATTTTTTTTTTTATTAATTTTTATTTATTTATGATAGTCACACAGAATGAGAGAGAGAGAGAGAGGCAGAGACACAGGCAGAGGGAGAAGCAGGCTCCATGCACCGGGAGCCCGACGTGGGATTCGATCCCGGGTCTCCAGGATCGCGCCCTGGGCCAAAGGCAGGCGCCAAACCGCTGCGCCACCCAGGGATCCCTATACTTCAGATTTTGAATTTTGATCTTTTCCCAGGCTGGTGGTAGGTGCTATAATCTCTTGTGATGCTGGGCAATGGCAGCCAACCACAGACTCCCAGTCAGCCACTCAATCACCAGCATCAACAATGGACACACAACCCTTCTGTAGCCATACAACCAGTCTGTTTGCCACATTCAGTATAGTATTCAGTCAATTACATGATATTTTATCTTGTAAAATAGACTATGTTCACCAACTTTGCCCAGATACAGGCTGGTGTAAGTGTTCTGAGCACGTTTAAGGTAAGCTAGGCTAAGCAATGATGTTCAATAGGTTAGGTGTATTATATGCATTTTTAACTTAAAATAGTTTCAACTTACGATGGGTTTATCAGGACCCCTATCGTAAGTTGAGGAAAATCTGTATATAACTTTTGGAGTTCAAAGTGAACATCCACATATGCTCTGAGACTATCCCATCACCACCAGTGATGTTTATGGCTCACGCTCAGGGAAGTGCTGACATGGTGGTTAATAGCATGGGCTTTGCTGGCAGAGAAGCCTGGCCCTTTAGGCCTCAGCTCTGCCATTCATGAACTCACGATCTCAGGCAATCATCTTCATTTCTCTGCACTGCAGTTTGCTGATCTGGTCAAATGGGGATGACAGTAGTATCAGTATGTCATAATGTGGTTGTAGAAACTGCATGAGCTCTTGGGAAAGCACGGTCTTTGTTCATGCTAGGGATGGGCTTCTGCCTTTATCTTTATACTGCATTATACTAGTTGTTCTCAAAACTTGAGTGTGTTCCAGAGGGCTTGTACAAATACAGATTACCAGGGCTCACCCCCACAGCTCTGAGGAAGTGTGGGGTGGGGACCAAGAATATGCCTTCCTATCATACACTCAAGTAATGCTGATGCTGCTGTTCTTGGGACCATACTTTGAAAACCACTGAATTGTGCTTTTCCTTTTAAAAAAAAAATTAAATTCAATTAGCCAACATATAGTACATTCTTAGTTTTAGATGTAGAGTTCAATAATTCATCAGTTGCACATAACACCCAGTGCTCATCATATTACATGCCCTCTTTAATGCCCAATTACCTCATCCGTATGCTTCTCCTTTTTAAAATATTCTCCATAGGGACTTGTATCTAGGATACATACATGAAGAACTCTTCCAACTAAAAAAAAAAAAAATCTTGAGGACCGCCCCCCCCCCAACCCTGGGCCCAACTTCATTCTTTTGGATGTGAATATTCAGTTGTCCCACCACCATTTGTTGAAAAGACTCCCTATGGATTTGTTTTAGAAAATCAGCTGTTGAAAATCAGTTGACTGCAAATGTGGGGATTTGTTTCTAGACTCTTAATTCAATTCCAATGATCTACATGTTTATTCTTATGCTAGCACAACACCATCTTGATTACTGTAATTTTGTAGTGAGTTTTTGAAATTGGGAAGTGTGAATCCTCCAACTTTGTTCTTTTTCAAAAATGCTTTATGGGAATGCCTGGGTGGCTCAGTGGTTGAGTGTCTGCCTTCAGCTCAGGATGTGATCCCCAGGTCCCAGGATCAAGTCCTGCATCAGGCTCCCTACAGGGAGCCTGCTTCTCCCTCTGCCTATGTCTCTGCATCTTTTTCTGTGTCTCTCATGAATAAATAAATAAAATCTTTTTTTAAAGAATGTTTTATGAATTTTAGAATGAGCTTGTCAATATCCATAAAGAAGCCAGTTGCGATTTTGATAGGGCTTGCATTGAACTGTATATCAGTTTGGGAAGTATTGCCAACTTAACAACATTAACTCTTTTGATCCATGTACATGGGATGGCTTTCCTCTTATTTAGATCTTTATTTTCTTCCAAGAATGCTTTCTAGTTTCAGAGTATACATTTTGCACTTCTTTTGTTAAATTTATTTCTAAGCATTTTATTCTTTTTTGGTGTTTTGTTAAGTGGCATTGTTTTGCTTTGTTTTGTTTTTAGAGAGAGGGGAGGGGCAGAGGGAAAAAGAGAGAGAGAATCTTAAGCAGGCTCCATATCCATCTCAGAGCCTGATGCGGGGCTTGATCTCACAACCCTGAGATCAAGACTTGAGCCAAAATCAAGAGTTGGACACTTAACTGACTGACAACCCCAGTGGAATTATTTTCTTAATTTCCTTTTTGGATTGGTCTTTATAAATGTATAAAATACAATTGCTGGGATCCCTGGGTGGCGCAGCGGTTTGGCGCCTGCCTTTGGCCCAGGGCGCGATCCTGGAGACCCGGAATCGAATCCCACGTCGGGCTCCCGGTGCATGGGGCCTGCTTCTCCCTCTGCCTGTATCTCTGCCTCTCTCTCTCTCTCTCTCTCTCTCTTTCTCTGTGTGACTATCATATATAAATATATATATATATAAATACAATTGCTTTTTTGTCTACTGGTCTTTTATCCTCCAACCTTGCTGAGCTCATTATTATTTTCAATAGTTTTTGGTAAATTCCATAGGATTTTCTATATATGAAGTATGTCATCTTCAAACCTATCTAATCTAGATGTCTTTTATGTGACTTTTTGCTGAATTGTCTTGGCTAGAACCTCTAGTACAACATTGAATAGAAGTTGTAAGAGTAGACTTCCTTATCTTGTTCCTGATTTTAGGGGAAAAGCTTTCAATCTTTCATCATTAAGTATGATGTTAGCTGTGGATTTTTTGCAGATGTCCTATATATCATATTGAGGAAGTTCCCTTCTGTTCCTAGTTTGTAAAGTATTTTTATCATGAAGATGTTTTGCATATTGTCAAATGCTTTTTTTTTTGCATCTATTGAGATGATCATTTGATTTTTGTCTTTTAATTTACTGACATGGTATATTACATTAATTCATTTTCATATATTAACCAAATTTTGCGTTCCTAATAAATCTCACTTGGTCATGGTTTGTGTATTATATTTTCTACTATTTTGTTGAGGATTTTTGTGTCTGTAATTTATAAGAGATATTGGTCTGAAGTTTTCTTATGTCACTTTTGTCTGATTTTGGCATCAGGGTAATACTTGCCTCATAGAATGAGTTGGAAAGTATTCCCTCTTCTATTTTTTGAAAGAATTTGTGAAGAACTGTTGTTAATTCTTTAAGTAGTTACAGAATTATTAACCAGTGGAACCATCTGGACCTGTGCTTTCCTCTGTGGGTAGTTTCTGCTACACGTAGTTTTTAAGCGCTTGAAATGTGGCTAGTATGACTGAGAAACTGGGCTTTTAATTTCATTTAATATATAACAAGTTACAGATGACTATTGTTGACTATACTAGACACAATAGGTCTTGGACAGTGGTTCTCAATGGGGTGGTACTGTCCCCTATGGTCATTTTGGAAGTTTGTCGGTGGCCCACACCTTACAAGGTGAGGGCCAATTTCCTATGCCTGAATGGCTTGTCAGTGTTCCCACCAGACATCTAACAATATGTGCCAAGAATCTAACTTCATTTTACATGTGAACCCAAGATGTATCTTGCTTGCTTTTAATATACACCTATTTTTCCAGGAATTCAACCGTTATGCACATTGAAAGAAGATTGCTTTTTGTTTTGTTTGGATCTTTACCAAAAGCTGTTCACCATATTTGGAAAATCCCTTCACTGAAGGCAGCACTCATAATAAAACCTATTGTTTCTGGCTGCCATTGTAGCTGGCTTGTTCACTGTGATTCTAAATACGTGTAAAAAGGCTGAGTATGTATGCACATATCTCTTTTAAAATATCAAATATAAAGAAAAAAGTTCAACATTTTTTCACATTATAATTGTCTTCTCATAAGTTCA